AGCAAATTTTGCTCTGGCTCCCTTCGTTTTCCTTCCCCTCCATTTTCTCTGCCCTCTCCTGCATCTGAACAGTTCTCCGCAACTAACTTTGGCCATCTATCAGCCAACAGTTGAGCGCCTGTTGGGTGACAGGCTTGACAGCGTTGGGGTGGGGGTTGGAGGACAAGAGAGCCAAGACCCTAATCTGTTGGCCTCACACAGTAGGTCTCCCCTGAGTTCCGTTCAAGTCTCGCTTCCCACTCTTGTCCTGCTTCTCTCACCCTTCCACTGCCTTGAGTGTCATTTGTCTCTCCTCCAGGCACTGAGAAGGAAGCCAGGAGATCATAATTCTAATTCTAGGACTTCCCCTTACAGGATGATACTGGACAAGCCATTTCCCCTTTCTGGGCTCCAGTTTGTAAAGCACGTCTCAGGGGTCCTCTGAGGATGCAATGGGAACTTGCCTGTTAAAAGCCCTAAAATACAGGCCGGCCCCGTGGCTCACTCGGGAGAGTGCGGTGCTGACAACACCTAGGCCACGGGTTCGGATCCTATATAGGGATGGCCGGTTCGCTCACTGGCTGAGCGTGGTGCTGACAACACCAAGTCAAGGGTTAAGATCCCCTTACCGGTCATCTTTAAAAAAAAAAAAAAGATCCCCTTACCGGTCATCTTTAAAAAAAAAAAAGCCCTAAAATACAAGGAGCTGGCCGGTTAGTTCACTCAGTAGAGCAGTGTTGCTGACAACACCAAGATCAAGGGTTGAGATCCCCTTACAACCTGGGGGGTGGGCGGTGTCCTAAAATACAGTAAGCACTAAATGATGTTATAGCTCTTTCCATGCTATCCCCTGTCCTCTCAGGCGGGCAAAGTTCCCTTCTCTTCATACCAGGCACTCAGGCTGCTCCAGTTCTGAGTGATCTTGGATGTGGGAGCTGAGATCCAAAGTGTGGGAGGGGTGGGGGGGAACTACACCATGACTGGCCCTGAAGCGGGGGAAGGAGAGACTGCAAGGAAGGAGAAATAAGGTGTGTCCTTAGATCTTAATGGAACATCAGCCAGCTGGTTCCTCTTCTCTTACAGATGGAGAAATTAAGGCTTCTGCAAGTGATGGAAGCAGATCACACTGCCAGTCTTCCCCCTGCAAACCCCCTATTGCTTACCTCCTCACCCCCTTTCTTCCCTTGGGGGGGGGGTCTGAGTCAGTCACAAGACGTGTGAGAGAAGGAACAAAAAGAAAGAACCTTCAAGGAGTCGAGACCTTTCCTCTACACTTCATAAAATTTTAACATGAAAACTTCCGCAGAGTAGAAGGCACATATCACATGCAAATCATATGCTAATCACACACTAATCAAAAGTCTGGTCCAGAACTCTGACACACACCTGGCTATAGCCCTGGGGGAAATTCTGGGGAGACTCCTGTGTTCCAGGACAGGTGGGGATGCATTTCATTTAGAGTCAGGTTATGGAGTTGACTCATTTTAGGACTGAAGAAGAATCAAGTGTATAGTTTGGGATTAGGTTCAGGGTTAGTGCAGAGCCAAGGGTAGAGGTTAATTAATGCAGGATTCAGACTGGGCTGTGCTTTTAAGTGAGGGAGCCTAGGAAACTGTTAAATACTTCCTCTCCTCTCCTCTCCTCTCCCCCACCGACCCTGTCTCCCACCTCCACTGCCCCTTCTTTGCCCTGCAGCACATCCTTCTCTGTCTACTTCCCATTCCCAACCACATCACCTTCCTAGGGCCTCCTAGTTTGGCTGTCTGAGGAGCTCTGGGTAAATTGTCCCAGACCCCAGCCTGGGCTCCAGCATTCCCTCGAGCCCAGACACTTGGCTTCTGGTCCCAGGAGCACCAGCTGGCCTTGGCCCTACCCAGGTCCCTTCTTGGCTGAATGTGACAGCTGCAGGGGAAGCAGTAAGGACCTGGTGAGCTGGCAGCTTCATTCCGGAGTGTGGAGAAAGAGCAACAGAACATGAATAAATTCATGGAGCTGGCCCCTTGGCTCCCTGTGAGCCAAGCCTGCTCCCCCCACCACACACACCCGCTGCTGCCTGCAACCCTGCTGGTCACCGCAGATCACAGCCTGGACTGGGGATGGGAGGAGAGGGGAAGCTCTAGAGAGAAGAAGACTAGGACCTCAAAGGGGCTGAGGTGAGGGGCTCAAAAAGGGGGCCTTGGTGAGTAGGATGAGTGGGGTGGGGAGGGGGGCTGTGTAGAGAGGGCCTCTGGTGAGTGGAGAGCGGGCAGGGGAAAGGATGAAGGAGAGAAATGGCAGGACCTGGGGTGAATGGGGCCTGATGATTGGGCAGGGGAGGCTAGTGTAAGCCTAGGCCTGCTTTCTCCTCTATGATCCATCCATCATCCAGCCTGGGGGAGCAGATCTGGAATTAGACATGCACGGGGCTGACACGGCCCTCAGCCCCCCGAGGAAGACAAATGGCGACAAAGACCTTGAATAAAATTTGTATTTATGGTTGGAGGAGGAGGCCCCTCCCCCACTGACTGCCAATCCTTTCTCTCCCAATCCTTTCAGGCATGTAGGGGCCTCCCCCCACCATAACACAAGCCCAGCCTCAGCAATCTTTTTCCCCCTGCCTCATTATGGGGGAGGAGGGGAGTGCACAGAGGAGTACAGGAAAGGAGAGATGAGGAAATCACCTTCCACTCAATAATCATGCCCTGGTGTGCCCTGTGCCCTCTATTTCACACAATGTATTCCTTTGTGGCTGTCCACCTCCAGCGTCTCCAGACATCCCACTTTCATCAGTTCTATAGCCCTTTCTAGCCTCTGGACCTGGGATCCCTGTGAGTGAGAAATTTCCCTCAGAGGGGCCAGGCCCTAAGGAAGGATGCAGCCAATAGCTTTTTCTCTGGACTCTGATCTATCAAACCCTATGTTTCCTCTTGGTCACCCTGAAAGACACAGTCACCTCTTGCAGGAGGGTGCCTAGCACCCAATCAGCATTTTAGTTATGTTAATTTGCTTAACCAACTTCAACTCCCCCGGCCCCCAGACACCCATTATTTGGAGTCTAACTTCTCTGGGTTTCATCTAACAGATCCTTGAGGAAGGAGAAAGGGGCAGAGACTCCCAGGGCTGGACAAGTCTGGGACTAGGACATGGGTTGGGTTGGGTTGGGCTTGGGCAAGGCAAGTGGGACAGAACTAGAGCTGCCTTCTCTTTCTTTCTCCCCAATAGATTCCCTACTTTTTAGTTCTGAGGCAGGAGAAATGGCATTTGTGGGGTCCCAAATTTAGAGACTAAGAGGAAAGCAAATTAATATACAAATACCTGCCTTCCAATAGCCCTCATGCAAGGACAACATCACATCTACACGGACAACACACAATCCACAATCCCACTCACCCAGGACACACAAGGCCAGGATCCCATGGCCACCTCCACACTTTGGAGCACACTGTCACAATGCACAGGCCTAGAGCCTACACTCTGCTGGCAGAACCGCCCCGCCCCCGCGTCTTCCCCACAGTTGATATGTCACATTGGAGTCCGAACACGGACCTGGGTGTCTCTCTGCAGCGCGCCATTTACATTTCTCTCTCGATCTGTCAACCTGTCTCGGCTCCCGTCTCTCTCTCTCCGTCTCTGTCTCTCCCTCTCTCCCTCTGGGGCTGTCAGTTAGTCTCTTTTCGAAGCTTTGTCTCTGTCTCTCCGTCTCTATCTGGCTTTCTGTCTCTTTGATTTCTCTGTCGCTCCTTCTCTGCTTTCCTGTCGGTTTCCTGCTTGCTCCCCCAGGCTGGTCTGTTCTCTCTCTCTCTCCTCTCTCTCTCTCTCTCTCTCTCCACACACACACACACACACACACACACACACACACATCCACACACACACATTCACACACCCTCTCGGATGCTCTGAGGCCCCGACACTGGGGGTCGGGCGTGGGGATAGCTGGAGATTTGCCTTTTCCACTTCAGGCCAACAAGTACATGTTGAAGCCTTTACCATATGTTAATCGGTCACGGGCACTGGGGAACATAGTGTGGCGAATTTCTCCCCCCCCCTCATTGTTTTGGTTTTTGTTTGTGAGATACCCAACCCCGCACCCCACCCCACCTCCGCCAATTTTAGCTCGAGAATCCACCTCTGTCTTCTCTGTGTTTGTAATCTCAACCCGTCTTTATCTCAACGCTGTTTCTGGCTTTCTCTGGGCTCTGAGAATGTCAAACTCCGGGTAAGAGGGTAGGGATAAGGCAGGGGTCGCGAATCCCTGCAGAACCCGCTCCGAGCCTGGAAGGAACCTAGAAACCGGCGGACGCGGGAGGGGGCCGCTGCCTGCCCCGCCTCCGCACTTCCCCCTCTGGGCGCCAGGGGTCGCTTCGCCTCCGGCCGCTTATAGTGGCTCCCGCCGCGCGGCGACTCACACCACCCGCGCTGCCACCCGGGGAGGGAGGGGGAAGGTTAGAGACGCAGAGAGGGAGAGCGCTCGCAGGAGAGAGACGCGGAGCTGGGGCTCTAGCAGGGGCTGCGGCCGCGGCTGGGGTGGGAAGGCGAATCAGTGCTCGCCAAGAGCCAGAGCGCAAAACCTATGAGGAGGTCGCATCCTGGGCGCCGCCAGCAGCTCAGAGCCTGGGACGTCCGGAGCGCGGGGAGTAGTCCCTGCTCCAGCCGGGAGCGATCCGTCTCGGTAGCCTGGGACCCGGGTACCACCACCCGTGAGAAAGCAGCAGTCTGGAGAGCAGGCATCTTAGATCTGTCGGAAACCAGCCGTCCGAGAAGCCGCGGATCTCAGGCGCCCGGGATCGTTAGGACTGAACAGGAGGGTAATAGACAACTAAGGGCTCTGAACCGTCGGGAGTTGCCCCTGGCGCAACCCACTGGGGGACCTCCGCCTTGACGGACGGTTTGGGGAACGGCACCGCTGCGGCGGGAGCCCGCTGGGGCGGGGGGCGAGAGGGCTCGGCGCAACCGTCGGGGGGATCCAGACCCAGGCCCGAGTCCCGCCTCTGCCTCTTGGGCCCGCGGAGAGCCCCGGGCCTCCGCAGCCATTGCGCCCAAGAGTGAGGAGGATTTGCTGGCCCCGGCCGCGTCGCGGCTGAGCCGCCGCAAGCGGGTGGCGGGCGCGGCCGTCGGAGTGGCCATGGTGCTACTGCTGCTGGTGGCCATCCCGCTGCTGGTGCACAGCTCCCGCGGGCCGGCGCACTATGAGATGCTGGGTCGCTGCCGCATGGTGTGCGACCCTCACGGGCCCCGAGGCCCGGGCCCCGACGGCGCGCCCGCTTCCGTGTCCCCCTTTCCGCCGGGCGCCAAGGGAGATGTGGGCCGGCGCGGAAAGGCAGGTCTGCGGGGGCCCCCAGGACCTCCAGGTCCCAGAGGGCCCCCTGGAGAGCCAGGCAGGCCAGGTCCCCCGGGCCCTCCCGGCCCAGGCCCTGGCGGGGTGGCGCCCCCTGCGGGCTACGTGCCTCGAATTGCCTTCTACGCGGGCCTGCGGAGGCCTCACGAGGGTTATGAGGTGCTACGCTTCGACGACGTGGTCACCAACGTGGGCAACGCTTATGAGGCAGCCAGCGGCAAGTTCACCTGCCCCATGCCGGGCGTTTATTTCTTCGCTTATCATGTGCTCATGCGCGGCGGCGATGGCACCAGCATGTGGGCTGACCTGATGAAGAACGGACAGGTGAGATGCCCCTCCCCCGCCTGGCCCGAGATCGGACCAGTAGCTTTCTAAACCTCCCCACACGTTCGACAACCCGAGCAGCAGTACTGAATCCAGGAACGTCACGCTGCCAATAATTTATTAATCGCTTCATTTAGCTAAAGAGAAATTGGGGGCCAGAGAAAGAAAACCACCTGCTCAGGGTCTCACTGAATATTAGGAATGGTGTCAGAACTGAAACGCAGTACTCAAAGCTTAATGTCTCTGTAGCCACGACCTCACACTCCAGCTATAGGCAACCACACCAAACGTCTTTGGTGTCTCGTCCTGTCTTGGGCTACCCTCTCTTTGGGGGCAGCCCTCCTGGCCTTTGGGATTCCTAGCCTCGCGTTGGGCGAGCTACCTGGAGTCTGGGTTCCTTCGAATTATAATGGAATATGCATCTGAGGCAGTGGGCAGCCAACAACCATCCCCATGTGGAAGCATTCAGCTTGAATTTTCAAGGAAAAGGTACAAAAGAATGAAAACGCTGGCTCATTTGCCAGGCAGCTATCCTATTGCTCACCCCAGGGCCTGGGACCAAGCCTAGAACAAACCCGTTCTCAGGTAATACTGAGTCTGTAGGCAGAGGTGGGAAATGGCCTGGTGGCTCAGGAGCCAGCCAGGCGGCCTGAAGGAACTGATTTGGAGGAGGAAAGCGGCAAGCAAGGGACAGGGGTGGAATTAAAGCCTTGGACCCTGGCCTGCTCCGGTAGGCCCACATCCTCCCTAGCAAGCTCTCAGCATTCAGGTTCTGCCGCTCCAGCTCCTTTGGGCAGAGTCAGAGTCACTGCCGCCTTGGTTTGGGGGAATAGCCCCAAGGACTCAGCTCGAGGACCTGGATGCGCATAGGGAGCAGAGGCCACAGGCGTGGGGTGGGGAGAAGTGCCTGGACCACGCAGGCCTCAAAGGGAGGTTGGAGTTGAGCTGTGACCTCCGAATGCCCCGCTCCATGGGTGGGGAGGAGTGATCCGGGAGCATCAGGCATGCTCCTCCTGGGTCTGTCCACTCCTGAGCCCTGTGACCGTCGCAGCACCTGCCTGGCCCCAGGCCTGCTTTGGGGTCTTCTCCCAGCAGGACCGCCCCAGGAACCCAGGGAAAGGAAGTGAGAGTGTCTGTAAGGAGGTGAGATAGTGTTTGTGCGTAAGGGAGTGTAAGGGTGTGCATGCATGGTGCGAGTGCGTCTGTGGGTGCGGAGTACGAAAGCGTGAGACCAGAGCGGTGTCTATCTGCATGTGGCACCGAGTAGGTGTGCTTGGTCTATTCGGGTATCTGGGAAGAGGCAGAGGGGGCGAATGTGTGTCTAGTGTGTGTCGGTTTCGGAAAGGGCGGGGCTGCGCGGCTTTCACTCTGTATTCCGCGGCGCGGGCGCTGCGGCCCTGGGGACGGTAAATAGTGATTAAAATAATGATGAATAATTAATGAGTTAATAACCAGCCCCTGTGGGACGAGAAAAGGGGGGCTGGGGAGGGGGCTGGAGGTTTGAGACAACCTCCGTGAGGCCAGAGGGGAGGAGAGAATCCCTGTTCCAGCACAGGAGACCCCACGTCGGGGCACTAGCGGGAGCTCCGCCGGGAAATGGGGGCCCCAGAGGCGAGAGCGCACCCTGTGGTACGCGCACAGACACACCTATGCCCCAACATCCAGGGAAGCGAACGCAAGTTTAGGACTAAAAGGAGGTCCGAGCGGGTACGTCATCTTAGAAATTATCCTACAGGCTAATTTTATTTTATATTTACTCATTTTATTTATTTACTTATTTATTTTTAAAGGTGACTGGTAAAGGGATCTTAACCCTTGACTTGATGTTGTCAGCACCACGCTCTCCCAAGTGAGCCACGGGCCGGCCCTTAATTTTATTTTTTAAATGAGAATAATTTGAGAATGCAAACCACTGGTCTGAACACACTTGACACGTAGCAATTCATTTAATCCTCACAACCTTATGAGGTGGGCTCTATTATTATCCCCCACTTTATATCTTAAATCAAGGCCCAGAAAAGGCGTGAAATTTGTCCCGAGTCACACAGCTAGTGAGTGACAGAGCCTGAGAAACTCAGCGATCTCCTAGTCCCTCTCTCCTTGTCCCTCCCCAATCCCCTACCGCAGGCTGTCCTCGCAGCGCCTTCGCACGGCCAGCCGCGGCCGCAGCCGCACCGACCCTCCCCAAACCCTCTTGTCATCCCAGCTCTGCACAGGGCGTGAGTGGCTTGTTTTGGTCTCCTTCCTCGCCAGGTCCGGGCCAGCGCCATTGCTCAGGACGCGGACCAGAACTACGACTACGCCAGCAACAGCGTCATTCTGCACCTGGATGTGGGCGACGAGGTCTTCATCAAGCTGGACGGCGGGAAGGTGCACGGCGGCAACACCAACAAGTATAGCACCTTCTCCGGCTTCATCATCTACCCGGACTGAGCAGGGCCCCCGCCCCGCGCCGGGCCCCCGCGCCCCGCTCGCCCCTTCGCTCCCATCCTCACACACCTCCAGCCGGCCCCACCCAAGGCGCCACCCCATCCTTTGAGAACACGGAGGGGAGGGTGGGGCGCGGACCTTAATGGGCGGACTGTTGGTGCTCAAGGGTGGTGGCTGGGGAGAGGAGGCCCGACTGGAGGAGGAGTGGAGAGGCTTCCGCAGGGACCACCCGCACCCACATGCGTGCCTGTGAAAGCCAGGACAGGAGAGGGGCGGAGGTTGTCGCCCTCTCATCTGCCTAGAGCTGGGGAGCAGTTTTACTAGCGGGGGCTGAGAGGTCCAGAAAGCGGAAGGGAAGCCCTGGCCGCTTGGGAGGGAAGGAACAGGAACAAGGAACCCATCTAGGCGAGAGGAGCCGTTAGGACTGATAGGCGCTGGTCCTGTGTCACGACAATTTTCTCTGGCCATCTCTTCCTCCCCTCATCTCCATTTTCAGACTCCAGACTTTTGGCAGCCTTGCTGTGAACTGGAGGAACCTCGCATTTAAACTCATTCTGTACAGTCCCCATTCCACCCCTATTTGGGCTAGGCCCTGGGGCTACAGCTGCTGTTGCCTCTTCTAATAAAGTAAGGTTGGGGATTGTGTGTGGCTGCTTAATTTGGTGCTCAGAATGGTGGGGAGTGCCTGACCCTTTCCCTCATCCCCCTAAACACTCCTATCCTGTCAATCTCTGCCAGAGGCAAAGCTTTAGTGAATTCCTGGCAAGGCCTGCCTCTGGGGGAGAAGAGGAAGTGCGCAGCCCAGGGCTTGTACTATGCTTTGGGAAGCAAGGAGTATCAGCTTCAGCAGTGCTTTGGGGCCTCACATGGTAGGCTGAAGGAGACACCAACCAGAATGACACTAACAAGGGAAGATTCCAGAGGTTTGGGTCTGGTGCTTAAGCTCTTCTGCCTAATGCAGGGAGAGTTCCAGAAGAGGAACTGTAGGGGATGAGGAAGTAGCTGATAGCTTCTGGAAGTGGGACTGATCCCAAGCAGCAGGATAAGAGCAGGTCCCAACACATTCACAGAGCTTGCTGCGGAGGTGGGCTGGGCAGAGGTGGAATGACTTCCTCTCCTCAGGACAGCTTTGAGATGAGGGAGCCTGGGGGATCTGAGAGCCCAGGGTTGGCCTCTATGCTGGAGGACACTGCCACCATGTGGGCAACTGGAGTACAACAGCAGTAGTTGACCTACTTGGACAATTAAAACTCATTAGATGGACATTTGGACACTTTAAAAACTTTATTAAAGGACAGAAGGGTGTCAGCTCCCAGTTCCATGGGGCAGACCAGCAATAAATAAGTGCTAAAAGGAAGGAGCAAGGCAGGGCCAGAGTGGGTAGAGGAGGGTGCCCTCATGATGGAGAGCCCTGAGGGGCAGCAGAACCAACTGGAATGAAACACTGGAAAGAGGGAAGACCATGTCACAGCCCAGCCATCCTTGAACTGTGGCCAGCTCTTCCCACTGCCCTGTCTGTAAAGGAGCTGTGGTTGGCCCCCTGCCTCCACCCTCCACTTTCCACAAGGCTTGCTGTGCAGACAGCCTGGCTGTAAATTGAAGGCTCACCAGGGCATCCTGCCATTCCAGTAGTGTGGCCACAGGGTTGGTGCAGACCCGGGTGGGGCCTGAGGGAGGGGTTCGGCTGGTGTAGAAGGCACACTCATCATCCAGGCGAGCCTCATGGAAGCAGTGGATGGCAGTTAGACATGCTTTGAGGCGCTGCCTCAGGGCCAGGGTTCGAGGGGCCAGACTGCTAGGGCCTGGGGGCCACAGACAGTTTAGAGGGGACGCTGGAGTCCTATACTCCCACTGTACTGTCCTTTCCCCATCCCCACCAAGGGCCAAGCCAATTAGGGGCACAGGGCTAGAGGTGCATCTCCTCCCTTCTTCCTGAGGGACAGCCATGCTGGGGCAGAGTAGAAGGGAAGAAAGCATAGGATTGCCTGGTGCAGGGCAGGGGCTCAGATCCAGTGAGAGATGAGAACTTCCTTTGTTCATAGCCCTTCCCAACCAACTCCTTACCTGCCTGGCCTGTTGGAGGCCTTGGAGACTGGAGTGAGCGGATAGGGGGGCTGGCACATAGTGGGCTTTGGGAAGAGAAGATCAGGCTGGTGGTCGCTGGAGCCCACTGACTGCAGCAGGGCTGTGGGCTGGACTCTGAACTTCTAGCTTCCATGGAACAGGCCTCTGATGCCTCTGGCTCTACCCTAGGGTAGGGCTCTGGGGGTCTAGCCTGTCCCTGGAGGCTGGACTGAAGGGGCCTAGTTTCTGCTAGAGAGCAGGGCTTTAGTACCTCAGATTGTTCTTGGCGGGAGAGCTCTGGGATCTCAGGCTCTGCTGGAGGGCAGGGCTCTGGTACCTCAGGCTGTTCCTGGGGGGAGGGCTCTGGTATTTCAGGCTCACTCCTAGAGCAGGATTCTGGGAGCCCAGGCTCTGCTGGAGGGCAGGGCTCTGGTACCTCAGGCTGTTCCTGGCGGGAGAGCTCTGGGATCTCAGGCTCACTCCTAGAGCAGGACTCTGGGGGCTCAGGCTCTGCTGGAGGGCAGGGCTCTGGTACCTCAGGCTGTTCCTCGGGGGAGGGCTCTGGTATTTCAGGCTCACTCCTAGAGCAGGACTCTGGGGTCTCAGGCTCTGCCAGAGAACAGGGCTGTGGTTCCCCATACTCCTCTGGAAGGCAGGGCTTTGGCAGCCCAGAGTGCAGTAACAGTCTGGGAGAGTGGGAAGTCCCAGACTTATGCTCTGGGGCATTTAGAGTTCTAGAAATCTCAGTCAGCAGGGGCTGAAGTTCAACCATATCCAGAGAGGATCCTCCATTAAGGGGGACACACTGGCCCCCTGCCAGCCCCTCTACCTCCTGTTTCAACAGCTGCTGCAGGATACTGATGCGCTGTAGTGGGAGAGAGTATCCCAGTGTGACATCAAGATGTGGGTTCAAGTAGTCTACTCACACCATCCTATTCCCACACCCCCATCTTCTCCTGATTCCCTCTTCCCTAGCCCTGCCACTGCCCATCAGGGATCGAAGCTGTTGCTCCCCACAGACTCACCTGCATCCTCAGCCCCTGGAGTTTGGGGGTTCTATCAGGATGGGGTCCAGAAGGAGTTGTTACAGGGGGTTTCTCAGGCCCCTCCTTCAACCTTATACAATTCTCCTGGTCAAACAACCGGACTGCAATCTGCTCCTGTCACATAGGAGGAAAGGGGGCACATGAGGAAGCCAGGCTGGGGCAGGAAAAGAGAACAGTCTGAGTCTCATCCTCATGAGGAAGGGATCAAAGTCCCTAATTTAGAGGCCCTAGGAAGGGCATCAGAGAAGCAAGAAGAGTTGGAGAATCAGGTAGCTTTTCCAGAGGGCACACCTGCCTCAAACTCCTGGGCCTCGGGCCAAGAGGACACAGTGAGGAATCTCAGCACAGGAAGGTTTCTTATACTTACCCAGGGCAGGGCAGGCTCTTCAGGGCAGGACTGAGGGGAGAGGCCACTCAACCATTGGGCCTAGGACAGAAGTGAGATGTCAGCAAGGCCCTGCACCCACAGATGGGACCCAATCTTCCCTTGCTTCTCTTAGCTCTCTCCCCCTACCCATCTGTCTCCTTCCTCCCCCAGGTGTGGCCTATGCCAGCTACTCCCCCTGCCCTCTCTTACCTGCTGAACTCTGGGGGCCGATGGGATGGGTGTGAACCGGGTTTTGGGTCGATTGGCAAGACGCCGCAACACTGAATATGGGGTCTGGGGAGAGATGTGGGTGGCTGAGCAGGGACGAAACCTAGACCTAACAGGGATCTCCAGCCAGACTGTTCTGCCCTTGCCTAGCTCCCAGTTGTTGATACAAACCAGAGCTGAGGAGCCTGGGGAGGGTACACGCCGAGCCTGTCCAAAGGGTGATGGACGGGTGACAGAAGGTGGCACCATATGGCCAGGCATGGGCTGGGCCAGAGGGGCAGGGGAGGGCATCAGGTGGGAGCCATGGCTGTCCTGCATGGAGAGGAAATCAGTGGGAAGACTGATCCCTTCCCCTTTGCCTTCCTAAGTCTTGTTCTCACTACAGCAGACAGTGTGATTCTTTTAAGACCAAATTCAAATCATGTCACTCTCTTGTTCTTCCCCTCTTTTGATGGCTTTCCACTCATTCAAGTAAAAGGCAAGGACTTACAGTGGTTTACAAGTCCTTACCCAATCTGATCCTGTTATTGCTGTAACCTCATATCCTACTGTTCTCTTTACTCTGCTTCAGCTTTGCTGGCCTCTCCTTTTGCTGATCCTCAGACACACCAGGCATATTCCATCCGCAGTGTCTGCACCTGCAATTCCTTTGGCCTGGAACATTCTCCCCCCGTATATCTGCATGGCTCACTCCCTCAACTCTTGGTCTTTATTTTTTATTTATTTATTTTTTCTTTCCTTTTTTTGTCTTTTTTTCGTGTCCGGCAACGGATCGCAACCCTCAGTGTCGCGCCCG